ATCTGTCGATTAATTTTTTTGATCAATAATCAGATAGAAAAAAGTTCCTTAAAAAGTAATTTTGTGAAATTAAACCAGGTGAAACTTAAGATTTTCCACTTGAGGAGTTCTGGATAGAGAATATTGACAATAGAAAAAGATTTTTATCTGAAATACTAAATATTTAAAACATTTCTGCATTGGAGGCTAATGTTTCTATTGGCTTCAGGCAGGATGCATTTTTCTGGGTTTATTAGTTCACAAACGTTGCAACAATTCATTTTGCTCACAAGTTAAACTTTCAACTTCTTCCAAAAAGAAGTCATAATTGAAGCTACAGAACTACAATGTTTTGGTCCAGAAAGAAAATGTTTGTGTTCATTTGGAATAAATGGCAACAGGAATCTGAAATTATTGAGATTTACACGAGAATTTAAACTGACCTCTTTAGCTGACTCAGCATTTTTGTAAAGGAAAGTAAACAAGGCAGCAGCAGCTTTGCTGTTTGAATTGCTGTATAGAAAAATAACAGAACTACTAATTTAGAACAACATAAACTGCAACCAGCCATCTGGATGCCTTTTACGTATTTATTTATTTTTTGGCAGCTTTAAGACACTTTTTTCCAATCTAAATAGTTTTTCCAGTAACATCTGATCTGTTGATAGAAACATGTAAACTGAAATTCTGTGTTTAATGTTTTATATCTTTTAGTTTCAAATTAAGAAGCTCTAAAACCTTTTCACATTATCATTTTCTGTGATTGAACTTCCACTAATGGAGAGAGTGAAGTTTCTGCTATTTTTAATTTGTTTTAGCAACAAACTGAAGCTCATCAGAAGAGAAGAAAAGTGTGATTAAATATGTGAGAGATTTTCCTTTGTCCTGGGCTTTGACTAGGCCGTTCAATCACACACATATACTTTCATTTTATTCTCGCTCTGGGTCTATTTTTAGCTCCATTGTTCTTAAGTTTTTGCAGCAACATTTTTTTTGCAGTTTTTCTGAGTATTTATAAAGCTTCTAATCAGCTCCGCCCAGCTTCCCATCCCCACAGCATAATGCTGCCACCACCATGGGCTTCTTGGAAATATTGTCTTATAAAGTAACACTTATAGGCAATGTTTGCACCCAGTTTTATTTAGGCGTAACAAAGTAGGAAGTAATGAATTCAAGAAATCAGCAAGAAATTATTGAAATTATACGTCAGAATAAAGAAAGGAAAAAAACAATTGAGTGACTTATGGAAATGATTTTAATGTAAAAATCTGAAGGTGTGCATCACGTTTAGATGGTTAATCTTATTCAGACATATCAGCAGTAAGTTAAGCTGTTTTTAATCTTTCCATAAAGCTTTCAGCCTCTTCAGTCACTTTCCACCTAACTTCAAAGAAAAGTGAACAGTTCAATCAAACCTCATAGAGCATCTGTGTTGTTACTGTTATAGGAAATCAGAAATGATTGTTTTGTCCCAGTGAGCAGGAAGTCTGTAGATGTATGGCTCTGTGATCCGTTGCTCTGGTGTAGTTAGGTGTTGATTTGGTGACCACCGTCGGCTTCCTCTGACTGATTCTAATCTTTAAAAGAGTCGTTGAGTCATTTCACGCCGGCCTCTGCGGTTTGTTTTCGTCACACAGGCCTGGGCTGGATGTTTCCTGCCGCTGAGCGCGTCATCGCTCGCTGCTGTTAATCGCATTCATTCAGACTTGGAGGGGGGGGAATGTTGTTATTGTGCAATGGTTTTAATGCCCGATAGTTTCCTTTGGGACTTTTATTTTGCAGTCATGGCCTTAAGCTGCTGGAGTTCAACTTTTACAAGAATCTGAGATGTTCTTTTTAAACCGCAGCAGATTTAGTGACAGAGGGAAAAAAGCAGCACAGAGTGACGGAGGTTCAGCGTCTGAAGCAAACAGCAGCATCAACTCGTCACTTTCCAAGAACCCCAAATTTCTTTCAATCTGTTGCCACTGCTAACCTTCATAATGACCCCCCCCCTACATGACTCACCCCTCAGGCCTGCATCAGTCAGCAGAACGCTGTGGTCTGCCCCCATTAAACGCGTCTTCTGTTCTTTGATAGGCTCATAAATCTTACTGTGTTTAAAGTTTTGGACATCATAATCCGTCTTCCAGTAACTGGATTTTGTTTTGTTTAGTGTTTTTTGTTTTTTCTCAGAGGCGAATGGTAAAACAGGTCGTTATCTTTCACTTCACCAGTGGAGGCTGTGATGATTATCTCCTGTTGTTTCAGGAGAATCACATTTTTAAAGAATTGTGGTTAAAAATACTGAACTGCGTTTTTTTCAGGCTACTGCCTCCGCTTGGTGCCACGGCTGGAACAACACGCTGTAATAAAAGTTAAAGCTTGATTCTATGAAAAACGGAAATAAAGGGAAACGTGCAGCAAACAGAGGAATTCTAGTTTGGAGGATCAGGGAAAACGTCTCATGAAGGAGTGGAGAGTTTTTTTTTTTTTTCCCACAATGTTTACATTCGATCACTGCTGCACTTTAAGAAAACGGAAATGTCATGAGAGCTGTAAAAAAACAACATTTTGTTTTATAGAAACTCTGTATACAAAATGCCAGTAAATGTTTTCTAAATCTAAGTTTATAACTATTATTCTCACGGGTCACAAAATCCCAGAGATTCCAGCGGGACGGGAGTAAACTTTCCTATTGGTTGGCGTGATCGAGGGAGTTCAGGATAAAAGGTTAGCGGGAGCAGATGGCCGTAGTTATTCATCTGATTAATGTACAAATAAAAGTATTTATCAGCTGATTTTATGAACATAAAAGTATCTGAGACCATCGGTTTATTCCTTGAAATCTCTCAGTCCTTTCCTGCCCTTCGCTTTTCACTTCACTGTTGATCAAGGTGAGCAAATCTAAGGCGGTTTACTACATCATGTCTGCCGCGTAAATACATTATAAAACCACAAACACAGGCAGGAGG